GGTGGGTGAGTATGGGGCCAGTGGCCCCCACGGGTGAGCACCCATCCCTGGGATGGAGTGGAGGGTGACACTGTGTGGGGGTGTCTCCCTGCCACGGCTCACCCCCACCCTGTCCCCGAGCAGATGGTGAGCTCTACGCTGGCACCATGAACAACTTTCAGGGCAACGAGCCCATCATCTCCCGCTCACTGGGCAGCCGGACCCTGCTCAAGACGGATGCCTTCCTCCGCTGGCTGTCAGGTGAGCAGGGAGATGGTCCTTGGGAGGGCCCCCTAGCCCCCCTCACCCTCCCTGTGCCAGGGGGTGCCCACAGCAGCCCCCTCCTCGTTCCACCTCCTCACCTATCTGCCCCGGCTGTGCCCCACAGCTGACGCTGCCTTCGTGGCCTCCTTCAGCATCCCTGGAGATGACAAAGTCTACTTCTTCTTCGAGGAGACAGCCGATGAGTTTGATTTCTTCGAGCGACTTCTGGTGCCACGGGTGGCCCGTGTCTGCAAGGTGGGTGCAGGGACAACAGAGGATGATGATGGCAGATGATGAGGGTACCCAGCTCCTGTCACCCCAGGGCTGAGCATCCTCCCGGCTCCCACAGAGTGATGTCGGGGGGGACAAGGTGCTGCAAAAGAAGTGGACGACATTCCTGAAGGCCCAGCTGGTGTGCTCGCAACCCGGCCACTTCCCCTTCAATGTCATCCATCACGCCTTCGCCCTGCCCCGCCGTAACGGCGGTGCTGACTTCTATGCCGTCTTCACCTCACAGTGGTGAGTCCCGACACCCAGGGGTGCTGCAGGTGCAGTGGGGGCCCATGTCCTCCCCATGCCCACTTTGCTGTCCCTGCAGGCAGGCGGGCAGGGCGGGCAGCGCAGCCGTCTGTGCCTACAGACAGGAGGCTCTGGAAGAGGTCTTCGAGGGCAAGTACAAGGAGCTGAACAAGGAGAGCTCCCGCTGGACGGTCTATGGTGGCCCCGACATGAATCCCCGGCCTGGCAGCGTGAGTGCTGCCTACCTCGGGGATAAGACCCTCCAGGGGATGATGCTGATCCCCATGGGGAGGGGCTTGTCTGTCCCAGTTTGCCCTGTGTGCTGGCACTGGGGTGAGATGGTGGTGGTAGTGCAGGTGGGATGGGAAAGGGGGAGGGTTCCCTTTGCACCCAGCTGATGCTGTCACAGGGCAGCCTGGTGGTGCGTCTCCCCCCCCGCTCCCCGTGCCTCACTTTTCCCATGCCAGCACTGACTCCTCTCTCCCTGCAGTGCTACATGGGTCCCTCCTCTGACAAAGCCCTCACCTTCATGAAGGACCACTTCCTAATGGACGGGAAGGTGTCACCCACCCAGGGGCAGCCGCTGCTGGTGAAGACGGACATCACGTACACACGCATCGCGGTGGATGAGACTCGTGGCGTCTCGGGGACCACCTACCGCGTCATGTTCCTGGCCACAGGTGGGTTTACATGGGGGTACACACGGGGTACCTGGTCACCCCTCCTACCCTTCCCTTGGCCCCCCAAAACACCAGTGATGTCCCCTGTTTCCCTGCAGCGGAGGGTTTCCTGCACAAAGCGGTGGAGCTGCCCGAGGGTCCTCACATTGTGGAGAGCATCCAGCTCTTTGAGAGACCAGAACCGGTGAAGAACCTCCTGCTGGCCCCGGGGAAGGTAGGCAATGCGGATGACCCAACAGCCCACCCCAAGCCCGGCATGGGGAGGGCAGGGGGGGAGGCTCAGCCTGGCACCTCTCCCTCCCCAGGGCATCCTCTATGTGGGTTACTCCAGCGGTGTTCTCCAAGTCCCGTTGGCCAACTGCAGCCTGCACCGGAGCTGCGCCGAGTGCGTGCTGGCGCGGGACCCATACTGCGCCTGGTACAGCCTTGAGGGATCCTGCCAGCCTATCCGTGCCGCCGCCGCTGCCGCCAAGGACATGTGAGCTGGGGAGGCGGCAGGATGAGGATGGGAAGGGGGGGTGCGGCGGGGACCAGGATGCTGATGCCACTCTCCTGGTCGCAGGAGCGCATGGCTGCAGGACGTCAAAGGGGGGAGCCCAGCCACCATGTGCCACCGCGGGAGGAGTGTGGCCATGCCCCGAACCTGGGGGGCACAGGAGGATCCCGTAGCAGAGAGTTGAGTATGGGGGCATGGCAGGACGGGGGGGGTTGCAGCAGGACCGGGACTGGAGGGAGGGATGGGGCACATGGGGTGCACTGCATCACCCTGCTCTCCCTCTCCGCAACCCGCAGGGCTCAGCCCCCCGCTTAACGCCGTGGTCTACTTGCGGTGCCCCCGCCGCTCCGCCCTGGCCAACTACAGCTGGCAGCAGCCCGGCGGCCAGGGGGGCCGGGGGGACACGGCGCTGCTGCCTAACCACACGCTGGTGGTCATCATGCAACAAGGGACTGCTGGCACCTACAAATGCCGGGCCACTGAGAACGGCTACACCTGGACCGTGGCTCACTACCAGCTACAGGACCCCAGTGGGGTGGCCCCCCAGCTGGACGAGCTGGCTGAGGAGGAGCTGGCCTGGGGATCTTCAGTCCCCAGCACCCCCCGGTCTTACTGGCCCCAGTTTGTCACCGTCACCGTGCTGCTGGCTGTCACATTGGCCGCTGCCGCCTGCCTGGCCCTCCTTGCCTACCACGACCAGCTCAAAGCCAGGAGCAAGGTACGGGGGTGCAGTGCGCCCCATAGCCCCCCATCCCAGCGCCGGGAGAAGGTACCCCTCAATGGGGGGACCAGAGAGCCCTCAGCACCCGGAGTCCCCACCGAGGAGGAGGAGGAGGAGGAGGAAGGCTCCCGTGCTTGCTGCCCCCAGCTTGATGGGGACATTGATGTCGATAACAACAGGCTCCACGTCCCGGTGGGGGGCACGGCGTGACGCCACCACTGGGTCGGGGTGCCTGTGGGGAAGTAGTAGGCTGTGGGAGATGATATGAATGTGAAGTTTGGTGGGTTTTTTTAATTTAATACACATGTTTTAACATAAGGTAACATTTTGGGGTAGTGGCAAGGGGCAGCAGGGTGGGATGGGCCCCTGGGAGCAGCGGGGGAGGCAGCAAGGGGGTGGGATGGGGCAAGGAGGTGGGGTGGGGGGTGAGGAAAGGACATGGGGACAGGGAAAGGACGTGGGCACAGAGAAGGAACGTGGCCGTGGGGCAAAGCCATGGGACTGAGGGCAGAATGTGGCCATCAGGCAAGGACATGGGGTGGAGACAGGGCAGAGTCAGTGGATGCTGACACTGGTGTCACCCCAGGAAAAAAAACTGGGATCCATAAAAGCTCCAAAATGGGGAAAGCTGAGTCTGGGTGGGCTCCATGGGGTGACCCCACAGGCACCCACCCTACGCTGCCAGACCTCCCCACCCTGCTCCCCACCACCCTGGGTACTGGGAGGGGGGCCACAACACCACATCACCCTGACCCCCAGACAACCAAGGTGGTGGAGCCCCCCCCGCCCCAGCTGCACCCCAGGGTTGGCCCCCACTGCTTTTTTTGATGATGTTGAGCCTTTTTTTTTTTTTAAGACAAACCAGCTGTAAATTTTCCTGCTCTTTGTACATGCGATTTTTTTTATTAAAAAGGAAAAGCTACTGCGTTGTGCTGCTGGGCCCAAGGAGCAGCCCCAGAGGGGCAACGCCAGGGCCCCTCGGCCTCAGGCCTTCATGCGCGTGCGCGTCTGTGCAACCTGGGGGGTGTGCAAAGTGTGAGTGCACCTGCCCATCTGTGCGACGTGGAGGTGTGCAAGGCGTGCGTGCATCTGCAGTATGTCTGTGGAATGTGCAAGGCAAGGGTGTGCGAGGCGTGCACGGGGGCAACACGCATGCGGGGAGCGCACGTTCACGTGCAACACAGGGGTGTGCAAGGGTGCGCATGCACGTGCAACCTGGGGGTGGAACGCGCGTGCACGTGCAGTAGGGGGGGGTGCAGGGTGTGCATGTGCAACGAGGGACGAGGAGCCGGGGGACGGGGGGGGGAGGGCACACCCCACCCCACAGGAAGGGGGAAACGGCCCTCTTACAGCTGCCCATCACTCCCTTCCTTTCGGTGCATCTCTGCTGTTTTCCCCACCTCGCTGCGCCCTCTGCCCTTCCAGCAGTCAGCACGGGAATTCTTCCCCGGAAACACAGGAGTGGCACCCAGCCGTTAAGTGCCGCTGTCCCTTTAAGAGCTGTAATTCGGCGCTCTCCCTTTAAGGTGAGGGCGCAGCTGCGGCCTCCCGCCGTGCGCATGCGCACTCCCTCCCCCGCGCGTCTTCCCTAGGCACGGCGGGCGGCCGTCCTCTTTACTGAGGCCGGAAGTACGTAGAGTCACTTCCGGAACGGCGTCAGCCCTTCCCCAAGATGGCGCCGGTGCTTGGGCGCTGATTGCTCGGGCGACGTGCGAGGCCCCGACGCTCTGCCCGCCGTTCACTTCCGGCCGGCGGCCGCCGACTGGGGGAGAGCGGCCATGGGGTGGCGGGAC